AGGGTGGAAAATGCCCTCATGTGTGTGGTCAAGTTGAAGTTCTCATGACATATTTACCATGCATACATTTAGACTTGCCCCCATGCAGTACTTCATGTATACAATGAAATACAATTAATTGAATTCTGTAACAAAACGTTCTTAAAAATTTTATCAATTTTGCCAATGCGATTTTTTTTCATTTAGGAATAAGTAGAATTGCCAATCACGTGATCAAGTCATGAGATATCAAAAATGCTTTACCTGATTAAACTCTCTTCGCATATTTGTTGTACATGTATACATTATTTACAAATTGAAATCAAATCCTAGCTAGAAATAAAAGATTGTTTTTAATGCCCTTTAAGCCCTCGAACAGCCCTAACATAGTTGAGTGGAATATATTGGGTTCACATGTGAATGGAAGTAACTATTGTTTATTGATAATACGCCGTCGATAGATTCAAAAGACGAATTGTAGAAGACAGCAAGTGTTTTTTCTTCTCATGTAGATGATCTTGAATAAATTCTGTTTCATAGGAAAATAAAAACAGGTCAGCTTATAAAGGAGCACAGTTATTGCCCTTGGGAATTCCAACAGTTGTTGGAAGACCTGGTCTCCGAAGACTACATAAATATTGTCAATAACAACTCCAGCATCTTTTCATTATCAACTTCAGAGTACTTGTGTGTAGTGTCAGAGTGATTTTTATAAAAGTAATTTGGAGATGACCAATCACAAGATACGAAAATTTCCGAGTTCCATTTTTATTGAAGAAGCAGTTGTTTATGATATCTTAATTTCCTAGTTTTTAATTTATCTTGAGGAATGATTGCATAAAATGTAGAAAAGTCGTACGTTTTGACGTTACTGACTTTTGATAAAATTGGCAATTTTAAACTTCCTGAAAAATAATCTTACGGTTTTCTGATAATCCACCTCTGATTTACACCGACTTTAGAATATACTGTAGCATAGTACGTCTCGTCTGAAGTTTCTACTTTACAGCAGCTAAACTTCTGTTAGGAGTAAAGAAAAGGGCTTGGAAGAGCATTTGCTGGACCCGGCAATGTATATCTGTTGGAAACGATTTTTATGAAGTTTGGGAATCCAGTATAGGTAAGGTAGATCGAACTCACCTTCGTTGACTGGAATGTTAAAAGTATTAGACACTGAAATGTGATTTTGAAGAAGTTTATCTTTAGAAAGTGAACTGAGAGTATAACTTGGATTTCCTGAAGAATTTAAACCAAAGTTCTTCTAAAAATACTTATGAAGTGAGCCTTACAAATAAAAAAAAATATTGTTACATGGCTTATCAGCTGGAACCATAGCATCTTGTTCGCGTAGTCTTTCTCATTCTTTTATCACCTCCGATTTAGTAAAAACGAAGACACATGTATTTCTAAAGCACTCAATCCATTCTGATAAAGTGTTCAGAACTTCCTTTTAATATTTAGCGCAACGTCTGGAATACCTCAGCTTGAATTTTGGAAGACTGATCAAACGTTTTTATATATAAGAATAGTTCTTATGTTCACAGCATCTATTCTTTTTTTTTTTTGTATAAGGGGCCGACGGGTTGATTCAGAAATACTTCCATTTCTATTTGTTTTCTCTGTGATATCTCTTTGAAAGTTAGGAGAGTTGATTTCTTGATCATTCTAACGGAATGCAAATTTCGCCAATCGAAAGGTCAGGAGCTAAGAAGGCCTAATATGCATGTAATTCTCGTGCGGCTGTTTTTGTGTCTGACGCTAAGGAGGCCTAATATGCATGTAAATCTCGTGCGGCTGTCTTTGTGCTTGACGACAGTGGGCGGGGACTATTGAAATTGACATGTGAGGCCTCGTGTAATTTAAATCTATTAATCTACATTTTTAAAATCTAAATTTACAATTTTATTTCACAATGAAATGGAAATATAAAGAATCACTGTCTAGTTAGTAGAGTATGCCAGGGACATCAACGATAGTTGGAAACGTGGGATAATTTATGCATAACGGGCTTCGCCCTGGCATACTCTACTAACTAGACAATGATTCCTTAATTATCTTCTGACACAGTGGTGGTTTAAATAGCCTGTCCTAGGTAACATCCATAATCACAAACACAAGTTTGTGTTCTGCAGTTGAAGAATCTGAGTATTGACTTGCTTCAACTTCTTCAAATAGTCCATTCAAAAATTTCAAGATAACTGAGTACATTTTAGTCCTAATGTAATGAAGGTCTTATTGTTCATTGACATAAGGCATAAGTGAATCAAAACAGATGTCATGTATACAATGTCTAATATTTATACAATGTCTAATGTATGCTTATGCTCGGTGTCCAAGATTAAGCCTAAGTCTAGGTGAATTGTTCAAAATTCCCATTACATTCACATTCGCAAACTACAAGCGTGAGAGATTACATGTAATGTGGAAAGACCGTGCCTAGTTTCCTGATCAAGTATTCTTCTTGTCTACGGAATGGCGTACTCAAAGCAGGACTATTTGTTAGAAGATACAGTAAAGCACACCTAAAGCGAACACGATTATAATGAATTGACACAGCGAAGTGATTTTCATTTCCCTTGGCTTTAAAATATATTGTGCACTTAACGGATGTTACGAATTCTGCTTATATCAAAGCAAAATCATCCTACCCTGTCACTTCGTTATAAGTGTGTTTCACTGTATATTTGTGTTTCCAAAACTCTAACCCTCGTCGAAAGAATAAGGCGGTCAGGCGAATCGACATGTTTATAAAGATGTTGATGGCCCCCATTATTTAATTCAAACCTACATTCTCTTATTGAGTGAACCTTTTGTTTCCCCAGTATAAATCAGTCCGTAAAGAGTACATTCAATTCCATAGACAACGCTTGACGTTTTTTAAGTCAAACTTTCACCAGTTTTATTAAAAAAAACTTTGTCCAGTAAGGTTGCTTTAAAAGGAGGTATATGTTATCAAAATATCACAGGTTTTGCAATTTTTACTAGAATATTTAGAAATGGAACACAGGAGGTCCGAAAAAGAATTGTCAAAAATATCTCTGATTGAAACCTAACAATCTTTGATTTTAGTAAAGGTAAAAAAAAAATAGTTTCAAAATAAAACAAAATATTTTCTACAGTGCACTATAGTTTATTATAGTAAAAAGTAGTTATACATTGCTAGATGTAAATGATGTAAATATTTGTACATAGGTATTTTAAGAGTGAATGTAAATGGATAATCGATCGAGTAGCTGTGTATATGCATAAAAAATTGCGTCGAGCAGACAGCAATCTAAGATAATCAATACCGAAAGTGTTTTTTTTTTCAGGTAAAAAATATATAAATATCATAGTAATGGTCGATCAAATACTGGAGAGTTGGTAATTGTATAAATCTATCAATATTGTTTTTTTCTTGATGACTAATTTGTCGTTATAGGATATCCTTATAGGTGTAAAACTAAGCTTTATATAACGGAATCATGATTGTCAAAATTTTTTCATGCAGTTTCTAGAATATCACAAACATTCTAATTTGTACATCAGCCTATGAAAACTTCATAAAAACATATACTGATCGAGTTACATTAAGAAATTAAATATCTTAATCTAATGTCTAGATTTATTTAAATAAATTTTCATCATAGTTAATTTCATCTCTGCAGGATTGAATTATTACAATAACCAAAAGGTTGACTAAACATACACGCAGAAATATCTCAACGTCATATTTCTGTATCATTACGAAATTGCTACATTTAACTGGGTGTGACTGGGGATGCTTATTTCTCCTAGGCACCTGATCTCACGGGTCCGTGTTTTCCCCCCTGTTCACAGACTTGTACTATTTGTGAGTTTCTTCACTGTTTGTTATCTTCGCCTATTTCATATTTAGCAGCACTATCCCATTTTCAACATATTTTATTATCCAAGAAGTTTTATAAATTGTTATATTTCCTAAATAAAGAAATTTTTTGTATTTTCTGAGAAAAACTAAGGGACAAATAGATAAAAAGTTAGTCATTGACCTAGTTATTTGTAAGTACATTATAGATAGATAGATAGATAGATAGATAGATAGATAGATAGATAGATAGATATAATGTATATGATAGCACTAAAATCATTGGTTTACAATGTACATTAGGTGTGTTTTTTCATTCCTATCCGTGGAACATTTTTGGTCATCTGAGTAAACATGATCTAAAATAAGAATAAACATTGCCTTCTTGACCTTTACAGGAAGATTTTAAAAGATTTGTTTTTCTAGATGATTTTTGAACATACTTCCCTTTTTATTCCAATGTAAAAAATGGAGCCCAAAAAATTCTTGTTGCCATAATTGAACACATTCAAATAATTGTACATTCAGAGACATAATGTCTGAATATGTCAGAAAGCTTTCCTCTAAATTTCTTCAATACCGGCCCTGTGATTCTTGAGAAGAATATTTTTAAATGACGCCATCCTATTTTTTGCCTTTTTTTTTTTAATAACTTCCGCTTGGAGGAGGCTGTGCTCTTTATTTTAACAAACTGAATCACCAACAATCAAGGAAACTCTATGCAAAGTTTGGTTGATTTCGATTATGAAGAGCACCACTTACATGTAGGTCGACTAAAGGTGAGCTGGAAACCAATAACGTACTTGTATATTTTCCATTCTAATATACCATCAAGACTCAGTAATTCCAAAAAAGAACAATTTTTCTGATACATGAAAAGGTAGAAAATAATGTGTAGGAAGCCACAATTGCGTTTACCTGTCATATATTTTGTATATTTTGATTAAGATTGAATATGTATTTCATGATCTTCTTTCTCAGCATGGTAAATATATGATTAGTATATAAACATGTATAACGCGTAAGGTTTGCCTAAAATTCAACTACTCAATTTTTTTTTTTAAAGTTAGGTAAACAAAATCTACAAAAGTAATAAACAATCTTTGTACATGTATATGCTACATAATCTTACTTATTCATAAAACAAATTATTTAAAATATATAAAATACATGTCCAATTTTTTTTATTTAATAAAGTCCATGATTCGTTTCAGAGGCGGATACACTTTTTAAGTTATAAAATCTATAGTTTTAGGTCAATCAAAGTTTTTTTAAGAGCCCACTTCAATAAAAAAAATTCTATCTACCTCTTTATAAAAAAAATTCACGAGTCAATATAATGTAACAAAACAAACTTGCTTAATTTTTCTCATGTGAAAAATCAAGATAATGTATACCAAATCTAATCTTGATTTTTGAACAATTTCGACCAAAAAAAATCCATTGCCGATTTTAGTTTGGTTTGAGTCTAAAACACTTTTGAATGACATTCTCCTAAAAAAGGTGTTGCAAATCAGATATTTCATTTTCGGTTATCATAAAGTCCTTGTCTTGAGTAATAATAATCATCGCCATCAATATTTCCGGTGAAGAGGGTCTGAAGCTGGTCCACAATTTCCTCAAAGTTTGGACGCTTCTTGCTCTCATATGACCAGCACTTCTTCATTATTTTATAAAATCTGTAAAATAAGAATAAAATTATTAGTATTCATTTTTCATATTTTACATCATTTTGTATTCCAGGTAAATCAGAGATTATTTTCTCTCAGTGTAGATTTTTATAAACAAGATGTTAGTGAGAATATAGTATGAACCCTGTAAGCAATAAAATATGAACATTTTTCCCTGAAGTTTACTACATGAAAACTAATTTTAAAAATGAAATTTTTTTACGTGTCGTCACAGTGCTCTGGTTTCTTCAATCGTTCTCCTCGTTTTAGTCTAGAATCCAGTTCCACGCTCTTTATTCCTTCATACGGGGCCTCGCCTACAAAAAAAGCATGTTAAGTATTCCATGAATTAGTTTAATGCCCTGTTCACACGTATGCGCATTAAATATTCAATTCGTAGTAAATTAAACTTATGGAATTAAATTGTGTTCACAATACAGTCAATGCAAAGTTAACTAATGGTTTAAAAATTGGTAAGGTTATTATGACGTCATTTGCACAACACGTCCCCTTAGGCAGAACATATTACATATAACATAATATCATTGTGGATGTAGAAATGGTTAGTGATAAACTTAATCTTTCTGTGTTTTCACTCAAAAATAGCATAAATACTGGTATCTGTCCACTGACACATGTGTCAGTTGGCTTAATTTTGCTATTACGCATGCGTCAGAATTTAATGCGATTTAGCATCCTCAAGCGTTCACGGGTATATGTAGCTAATGAGAAGTAATTTGAGTAAATTAATTTGAATTAAACTAATTCGCATTAAATTCTCCGTGTAAACGCTGTTCATATTTATTATGCAGCATCCTCGTTTAATTCGAATTGAACTCTCCATGTGAACAGGGCATACATATCCAATGTTTTATTCAATTTGAAAAACAAATAAATTCACAAAATGAATTTACCCTAACGATACAGAACAAAATGAAAATTAATTAACTTTTATCCAAATACAATTAAACAATGCACAGTGTTTGGTGTTGTAAAATAATGTAAATTCACTGTATTAAAAGGGATTTACATGCAAAAAAAAAACATGCAAACTTTACTTAAAGCACTCTTTTGTTTACATATTTCCAAACTTTTATTATCTGATCCCTTCCAATCCTTGAATTTCATAGAGCTTGTTTAAAGATAAAACTAGGCACAGAAAAATATTTTTGAACAAGAGGTCCATTGACCTTAACGGTCACCTGAGTATAATACAACAATTAAGAAGATCCACAGAGTATAAAATAAACTGAAAAATGAAGCTTTGTTGCTCAAAAACAAGAGAAATAGCAATTAAATAATTAGTCTAGTATTCATTAACAACTCATAAAGTAAGCTCTTATCTGTCCCCCATTAATCATTATTACATTGCAGACTATTAACAAAATATTAGTGCATCAGTTCTATTTTTAACACCATACCATCACCTCTCACATTGGCCTCCCTTGGTCTTTTAAAAACATTTAATAATATAAGTAATTTTCGTTTCATTTTTATTTATCTATTATTTAAACATCTACCTGACCATTAAACTATGAAAGTACTTTTTGCATTATACAATAAAAATTCTTGCATAATTTTCTTATTCTATTGACCTTTCAAATACATTATACAGTGATTTATTATTAAAGGTGAATGGCAAAGGGGAATAACTTCTCTCAGTAGAATACAAATTACAAAGAGTCTGGCCAGGACCAGAACCTTGACCATATGCTCCAGACGTTCAGAAATCTGGTAGAAATACCCTTGCTAATTAAAACTTTTACTCTGCCTCTTATATACCCAGAAGCGAGGAAGATTTTCAAAGAAATAATGCATTTTTCACTACAGATTCAACACCCTCCTACCCTAACACCAGAACCCATGATCCAGGGTCATAAAATTCACAAATTTGATAAAGATACCCTCATCATCATAACTATGCACGTAGACAAAGATTTTCAAAGAATTAATTAACATATTTCCACTATATTATCAATAGACCCCCCTCCCCAGAAACATTAGATCCCCTGACCCTGGAACCACAAGTTTTAATTTTTTTAAGAAGCACTCTTGCTCATCATAACTATGCACTGTTTATCCGCTCAATACTATGAAGCAGAATTATTTAATAAAATTAATGTTTTTTCACTATATTTTCAATAGAGCCCCACTCTTACACCAGAACATCTGACCCAAGGGGCCATGAAAATTCTGGAAGCTGAAGCACTCTTGCTCATCAAAGCTATACACTTAGTGTCTTAGCTTTATAACCAGGAACAGAAAAGAATATTTTCAAAGAAATTATGCTTTTTCACTATATAATCAATAGAGCCCCCCCCTCTCCACCCCATCCCCCTTTCACCAGAATCCCAACCCTGGGCCATGAATTTCACAATTTTGTAAGAGGCATCCTTGCTTATCATAACAATGCACTTAAATTGTTTAAATAATACCCAGGAGCAGAGAGAAAATTTAAAGGAATTAATGCGTTTCACTATATAATCAATAGAGCCCCGCCCTAACACCAGAACCCCTGATGCAGGGGCCATTAAATTCACAATTTAGGAAGAAGCATCCTTGCTTATCATTACTAGGTACTTAATTTGTTTGTTTAACTCACAAGAGCATGGAAGAAGATTTTCAAAGAAATAATGCACTTTCACTATATGATCTATATAGCCCCACCCTAGCACCGGAACCCCTGATCTTTGTGGCTATGAAATTCACAATTTTGGTAGAAGACTCAATGCTTATTGCAGTCATGCCAATAGTTTGACTACTTGATGGCCAGGAGTAATGAGGAAGATTTTTAAAGATTGAATTAATTTTGGTAGTTTAGCCCCACCCCTCAGGCCCCAGAGGGACAGGGACCATGAAATTCACAATTTTTTGTTCCCCTTCCCCCATAGATGCTATATGCCAAAAGTGATTGAAATTGGTTCTGCGGTTTTAGAGAAGAAGCTAAAAATGTTCAAATGTTAACACACGACACGCGACGACAGACGAAAACAGGTTGCAGTAGGTCACCTGAGTGATTCAGGTGACCTGAATATGTGTACTTATAAATTATAAATAAATATTTACCCATGGAAAAAATTTCCCAAAGAACTACCCCATAAGACCAGACATCACTCTTTTCCGTGGCATACTTTGTTGTTTTAATACATTCTGGAGCCATCCATTTGATTGGAATTCTTTCCTGTTGAAAATTGTCTTTCGTAAATCTTTGAATTCATATATTTTAAGAATGTGTTGATTATTAACACTGTTAAGTATTCACAAATGATGACAATTTATATATATATATATATATATATATATATATATATATATATATATATATATATATATATATATATATATATATATATATATATATATACCAACCCCCATTCCACTACCATCACCAAGCACCCTTCACCTCACCTCCCCCACCAACCACCATCCCCCACCCCCAGAAAAAAGAAATGCTGAAAGAAAATAACAAAAAGACGAGGAAAAACCTAATAGCTTATGAAACAACAAATCAGAAGAGCAAGATGCAACATACACTTTTATTGTCACCATCCGATTCGTTGTCCCGAGGTTCTGGTCCAAAGCCTGTGATTTTTGTCTCTAAAAGGAATGTCAGCAAAACATTTCTGGCAGCAAGACGTCTATGTACAACCTTAAAATATTCCAGCAACAAAATAAGGGGAGATAGCAATGACTTCAATGGTATCCAATAGAGAGAGACAATGATTTTGTTTATTTTACAAAGTTTTATACTGTATACATGCATATATATCGTATATTGTTGTTTTTTAAAATAAGTTCAACATTGCCAAAAAGTCCAAAAAATATGAAGAGTTTTACAGAAAATCTGTGCTGTGTTCTTTTTTTGCGTTGACATAAAAGTTCTTGTTTAATTTTCTTTGAATATATGTAATGTATTTTCAAGATGGTAAATGAATTAATTTTAAATCTTTCTAAAAGAAAATGACATACCCCTTGAGAAGCTAGGTAGTTCATCCCTTTGCAGATTCCACAAGCGAATCTATAGAGTTTTTCATGCATGTCTTCATTAACTTTGTGTCTATTGCTCTTTAAATACTCCTTCAATGTCCCATTCTCACAGTACTCCAGGATCATAAATCGACCAACTAAACAAGTTATTAAAAAACAGATTTTCTTCTGCATATTTTAAAATTCTGTATAAAAATGTTTTTAAGCAATAGTCTTTGCTCAATTCAGCGTACAAATAGAATCAAAGCAATTAAATATATCAAACCTAAAAAGGGCAATTCAAAGTGTTTTCATACATTCGACTTGTTTTAACATTGATGGAGAAAATTTAAAGTGAAGTCAAAATCTATGTGCAGAATAAAAGTAAAAAATCTTCATTTAAATTAACAATTTTGAGTATTTTTCGTATTTCACAATATGTCTTAAAGACTGTTTTAACAACATTGCTTACACCAAATATCTTCTTGCTTAAACAAAGACAATGTCTGATTTAGATATTTTTCCGCATTGAATATAGGATATGATTGTGTCGGATCTGTACATTTTCCTGTTCTGGCCAATGGGGTACAACGCTCACCTGAGTAAAGTAAGCCTTCCTGTTGTTCGGAAGAGTATTTATTTTTCCCTCATCATTTTCAAAACAAAAAAATATCACATATTGTGAGCCTACCATAGCTCCAAAGGATCAAGTCCTAGCCGAACTTGAATCCATAAAACATGTAAATACTTCATTAATAATTTAACAAACATAACCTTTCTGTTCCGGAAACATTTTCTTCCTGTATACTAATACATGCATTTTATAAATTTCGTTCCGGATTTCAGCCCTATCTTTGCCCCAGGATCAACTATCTGAAAACTTGAATCAATTCAACTTGGAAACAATTGCATTTAATTTGATTTAGCGTGGCCCCGTTATCCTAGTAAAAAATCATTGTTTTCCTAAATGTATTCCTATGTAAGAATTTGATCCCTTCTTTTGGCCCTACCCTACCCAAATAAGGATGATATTATAAAACTATAATCTGCATTAACTGAAGATGTCAATTTAGTAAATTGAATATTCAGGGAACAGAACTACCAACCTTGAATAGATTTTAAAGGATTTTTTTTTTTCAATGTAAAACCTTGATCACCAGGGGAAATGAAAGTATTAAAGGACTTATCGCATGCTCTTTAAAATATCGTAATTTTACGAAAAAATATTATCATCAACCTGGTTTATCAAAATACTGAATACAATAAACGTTGTTTTAAGGATATTTTAAATGATATTGAAAGTTGAAATTCAAATACAGCGATTTGCGTATTTCAATCTGATTTCGGCGCCATATTGCTGTGACGTCATTTGCGACAATTCAATGTTAGAGAGATAAGAATCTGCACAACGTTAATGGAAATATAGGCGACAAATGCAGCATAAAATAGGAAAATGTCTCTATATGAGTGAAAAATTCTCGAATGGGACGTAAAACAACATACAATCAATCAATCAATCGTATTATTCCTCCGCGCCCTTTCTGAAATCGGCGATGATTCTGTCGCTTATTTACAACATATTGATTTAAAATGTTTTATAAAAACTAGGTTTTCAATTTCTTTCATTTTACCGAATCTACTACTTTGGGAAAATATTCTGCTTTTTTTTTTTTTTTTTTTTTTTTTTTTTGTATTCTAAACATATAGAATATGTAGTTGTATTACCAGCTCTGATTACGGTAATGTTTTGTACAAAGATGGGGGAAATTATGATTCAAGATCGCCATCCTTTACAAAATATTCACTGATATACACAGACATTTTATATGCTAAATTTGTGAATAAAAAACTTTTGTGATAGGATGACAAATCAACTTATTTTCTAAAGGCAAGTTTTTTTCGTCTTTGCCGCGTATCCATCTCTATTGTCGCTGTTTATACTACCGTGTTTAAAGATATTGCAGATTTTCTATTGATGACATTTCAAACATATACGTACATCTGGTATCCAACCTCTTATCTAAGGAATCAGTGATTTGGTCGTCCTTAACGCAGGTGAGCTAAATGTAGGTTGCATCGCATATATTTTAGTAAGATTAACGTTAACTGATGTTCAGCCATTGCCTTCTTTGATGTCACGTGATCGCTATCTAGTTAATTTGAATTTTTAAGTTCAGGGGTTTTAATTTGACTCAATAAGTATTTAATTACCGCAGTATTTCCGCAGTAAAACATTTTCTTTATAAACTGTGATGATAAGGAACATACATGTAATACGCTTTTGATTTCAAGTAACTGAGAAACATGTGATAAGTCCTTTACGTCTATACTTTATATTGATGTTTAAGGTCTTGGGCATAAGGTCTTGCCTAATTAATTGATATATAGAAAAGGCTATTTTAAGCATAAAATGAACCCAGCGCTTTTGATCAGAAAAACGTACTTGCGTTTTTGGCTCAGGTAAACTATTAAAAGCAGTGGCAGATGGGCAGATAAATGCACAGACAAACAGACGGACAAACAAAAAGAAAGATGCCAGGCAGTGATTTATGAATATCCCTTGGCTTTGCAGCTTTGCAAGGTTATACAAAACAAAGTTAATTTTGCCAAATTTTAATACTAAAAAGGGTTAAATATTTTACGAATTTATCGCTAAAGCTTAATTGGGATAAAAATAAACAATTCATATTACAACTCAAAAAATAGAAGAAAAAAAATGGAGATAACAAACAGTATTCAAGCTCAAAAGTCCATTCAATCAATACAAATCAGGAGTAGAGCAAACACGGACCTCTTAAACATGAGAGGTGGGATTAGGTGTCATGGAGGAGTAAGCATCCCCTTCCAAACAGTTACACCTGCCCTGTGCTCCTTGTTACGATCGGGAAAAACGGAAAAAAACGTAGACAATTCAGTGTGTAAATAATGGCCAAAAATAAGTATGAAAAACGTTAGTCAGCAGTTACTTATTGATAGATTGTATTTGTTGAAAGGATCATAGTATCGACCATAGAAAAAATACTCACGAACGTCATCATCTACGACTCCAATAAACTTGAGGACGTTTGGATGTTCCCCAACCTTCATTGTGTAAAAATTCACCTTGGCGTGCATGGTTTCAATATCTGCCTTTGATGGATTTTCTGAATAATTAAAAATTATATTATCAAACAACATTGTTAACCCCCGCAATGCCTTGAATTACCTCCCTTAATAAATCAATGAATATATACATGTAAGTTACTGATATCATAACGAGAAGATACATACCCGGGTGTATATAATAAGATCGTTTAATGCAATCGCAAATTAAACGCATTTAATTGATTTTACAGGGGGTACACAGGGGGTAGGTCTTTTGACACTTCTCCCCGACTGCCGTGAGTATAAAAGAGGGGCGCAGTGGCGAATTCATCCTTTTACTCAAGTAACTACTCCAGCGTTTTGCACTTGTAATAATTGTTTCCCAACCACCTCTTCCATTTAAAGAGCAGTAAATCTTAGCTGTTGATAGATTATATGTCTAAACATAGGTAGAATTTGAGCTGCTGCTGTTTCTGCTGTTTATTTGAATTTTTCAGATCACCTGTACCTATGGACCTTTTTTATGTTTATGTGCACAAGATTGTGATCTACTTGCAATGGGACTGAAGACTGACGTTAGGTTGCTGTCGCGGCTTTACGGATATATCAGACAAGCAGAGACATTAGTCATCATTATGTTATTATTTATGTTTGACTATCTATTTTGCATGCTTGGTAGAGCATGTGGGGCTCGCTAAGGCTACCGTAGGAGCCAATACAAGTTTGCTATGGAGTACACTGGGAGATTGTGTGAGGGATCTGTTTGGTATAACAGTAACCTCGTACCCCGCTCGGTATAACGGGTGGTTTTTATTTTGCCTTACTCGGTATAGTGGGCTTACCTGTTCGGTATAAGGGGTAGTAGCCTCGCTAAGGAATCCCCTAGGACGCAATTTGCATATTCCAGCAGACTCGCTATGGGGTACCCTAGGAGTCGATTAATACACATTGTTACGCCTTGCTACGGATTACCCTAGAATGCGAGGTGCCATAACGCCCGTTACCAATTCAGGTGTGTGGGACCCATGATTGTTAAATGCTTGGCAGACATTTGTCATTGAAACAATTATTAAAGCTGCGGCTTTTATCACCCAAAATTTGTTTTGTTATTTTTTTCGGAAAAATTTTCTATTAATTAGATATACTTCAGACAGAGCCAATAAGTGATTAAAACTACAACATTGTCTGATGCAAAAGAAAGAGGGAAGCTCTACCTTAAAAAATAGAATCGGAAGTTTTCGCAGAAATTGTAGCTCTATAGATTTGGATTTAAAAAAAAATCCCCCTGGCTGGTAACACAAAAACTTTTATTCAGTTTTCCATTGTAACTTTTATATATACTGATTTTTTTTTTTTTTTTTTTTTTTTTTTTTTTTTACAAATTTTACCACGTTTTATGAAATCAAAACCGAAACTTAGGAGGGAGTGGCATCTAAGGAAAGAATATACAACTTTATAGTAGACAAGGAAACGCCATTAATCAAAGTCAGGTATACATGTATTTACATGTAGTCTACTTAAGTTTCAAATTTCAAAACTTTCAGACCAAAACTGTGGACGAGTTGTTCGATTTGTTGAGTGTATTAATGTAGTATACTTGTGTAACAATTGAATTTTTACGTAGTTAAGATCAGAATTTATAAGAAACAACACTTCAAAAAGTTTCCAAATTTAGTATGAAAGTAATGTCATCCATTGGAATCAGAATATACAAATAAGCACGACAGTGTAGTCTACTTAAGAAAATTTTAATTGTAATTAGTTTTCAAATTATTGCAAAGATTCAAGTATCTTAGAATAATTCAATTATTTACCAAGTATTTGTTAAAATCAAAAACTGGGAAGGTAAAAAGAGTACCTTTTAAATGAGATTTAAAAAACGATAAAAAGAACAGTGTATATTAGCGTAGTGTAATGTGTACAAAGTTTTATTGCGTTCAGACCAAACGTGCACGAGGAGTATCATGCATTCTGAAAGATTCTCAGTGAATTTTATTTCTAGTTCTAGTAACCTAAAAATGTAGCCCCAAGACCGTCCATAAAAAACGATATAAAGAGGTTTATATGTATCTTAAAGTTGGCTACTTGTACAAATTTTATTGAAGTTGGACTAAATTGTCGCAGGAATAGATTTCAAATATATATATATATATATATATATATATATATATATATATATATATATATATATATATATATATATATATATATATATATATATATATACATGCATATATACACGAGAACAGGCAGACGAAAAGATAACAGACACCTTACAATTGTATGTTCTTGTCTTGGTCATTTGAGCTTAAAGTTACATAATGAGTCAAAATCATGTGTTTCTTTTATGAAAGTTGTATCACAAAACAAAAGATTTATGTGAAATATGAATATAGCGAAGTTTTGGCAACTCATCAGCACTGTAAAGCAAGAAAAAAGCAGCACATTGTAAGTGCCGGAAAAACAAATGTTGTATCTATCGCTTTGGTTTTATCGTCAATGTCCACAATTATGTCAAGGTCACGCGTCCTTTATTTTTAGCGTGAAACTTGTAAACAACATTGAATTGGAGCAAGCAGAAGTGAGAAATAAGTTCTGGTCATCTTTTTTGAAGATTGTATAAAAATTCTCGGTCATCCGACATTTATATCTATGGAATTGAAACCATGGTAAATTCTTCAACTTTCAGCGCATGCGTACAATAAAGAGGAAGAAGTGAAGCAATATTTTTGAGTTGGGTTATACAATTTTTTTTTACTTTTATTTTTCTCCATTAAAGTAGATTTTTTAGGTTCTGAAACCTGTAATTTTCTGAAACCCAATACTTTCAAGAACTGAACAAAATTTGCATGTGTCATGCATAAATTCTACTTTGTCGATTTTCTCGTTTTTCTGTCATGGTGTCACTTTAAAAACAGGAGACTTGGTATATATGATCAAGATCAAGATTTTTCAAGGAAGTCTTATCATGGGGCTTATATATAATTTATCATAATGAAAATTCTTCAGTTACAAATAAAACCCCCTTTACCTTTCATTGTTTTTGCTACAACGGTAGTTGAGCTGTCTCTCATAAACTTGGCTTTGTATATGATTGCAAATTTTCCTCGGGTAATTTCCTCCTCGAAGGTTATTCTATGCCGCATTATTTGGTACCTCAGGGGCGTTTCGTTTTCAGCGTAATAAACATCGTCATCAAATTCTTGAGAGTAGGCTCTGTTCTGTAAAATGTTGAGAGTCATATTGTATATATATTTCAAACTTTACATTACTTTACATTAGATTATCTGAGAAATGTAACATGTTGTGAGACTGAAAAATCCTTCAGAAATCGGATTAAAGGTTCTCATGCTTTCATAGCTTACAGAGAAAAACACTAAAAGCAAGTAGTGGTAATGTATTGGTATCCTTAGGTAATTAACGACTTTCTATGCACCATATCACTATATCAATTGTAAGAAATTGTGTTTAGAAAGAGAACCGTGCAGCGAAGGGATGCTCCATTTGCACTGATCTTGTTATTTCTTCGTTCTTGAATTCGATGTTTTAAGAAAAGGAAAAAAATGAGAAAAAAAAACCCAGAATAAAATAGAATACTTTTATTCAATGAGTTTCATTTTGATTTAAAATCCTGCCGCTCATGATAAAAATCTGTTAATTTAAAAAAAAAAATAAGAAAAAAAAAACTAAAGACAACCAGTAGAGGACGATAGAAATAGAAAATACATAAGAATTAAACAATGATTATACATGTACATAAGATGTTCGTCAAATGTACATAAGAATTGTAACATTCCTCTTCTTTCAAAGAGTGCGAGTGATCAAATTTCTAATGAAAGAAGAATGTTATACACTTACACCATAAGCCTTTGGCAGACTGCTGTTGTTCCTTCTTGTTACTCCACCGATAGGCTCAAACTCATTATCTATGTAACTAGAGGTTTGCTGGGGTGAAGATCGAAATCTATCTATTGGGTTACTCATCCTTCTTGTTTTTACCATGAATATCAAAAATATCAAGACAAGTATGATGATTATCACGATTCCACCTTAAAAATAAATTAAACTTTGATCTGATTTGAATTCAACTGTGATAAATAAAACAAGAATACGTTCCGGATAATAACAAAATCAATTATAAAATTGGATTTTTGAATTGCGTTATAACTAAAATAAAATTAAGGTAAATGTCCACAAAGTTCACCTGAATCATCTTTCTTTAACCGACAAACAATACAGAACTGTGCGTCTACAGACCTAAACGTTCACCCGAGTATTGTGATTTTTTTTCAATACTGTATAATATTATGATAATCTACTTTCACCTGGTTCTGGAACTATTGACTCAATGTAAAATAAAATTTGGTTATTTGGTACAGTCTGTTTCTTTCATTCTTATAGTTCAGCTTTTGACACACTTGTGAGTAAAAAGAATTTTTGAATCTAAGCATTACCCTTCCCTGCGTCTTGCTCTAACAAAAATTTACTATTAATAGTAATATTTCCATTTTATATCAAAAACCTTCATGTATGAATTGGAGAACATAAAATATGAGAATCTGATGTTCATCGCAAAAATACTTTGATTTACTAGAGTAATAGTCTCTTTTACTATAGTACAAACTTTGACACGATAGTAAAATATTTCAAAAAACACTTTTTAAAGGGCCTATTGTTATTTTTTATTATTGTAAACAGTTTGAACTCTAGGTGTCCAAGATAAAAGCAGGAGGTTTACTAAAAGAGAATTTTTTTTTCCAATTTATGGTCATCTCAACTCGGTGTTTTAAACTCTTGAGTCATGAATTTTAAAATTTGCTAGAGAGATACATGTAGCCGATATTTGTACATTTTGTCACCCTCTACATATTGTCGCCAATCGGTACATTTTGACCACGGCGACATTATATGCCACGACAAGCCTTTTTGTCCTGGTGACAAATTGGATCTCACACATTGGAAACGCTTTGTATTGCAAACATTAGTAAAATTCATTCCCATTTTTATTGTTTTGAAGAATAATTGACTGGGGTCATGGAGAGTGACTCAGAGAGAGAGAGAGAGAGAGAGAGAGAGAGAGAGAGAATTTTAGGAAGATCACATAAGATTTGGTCGAATTTTTTCAGCGGTTTTGTGTTTTGATAATTATTTTTTGTGTCTTAATCTGTTTTTGCGAAATAGTTATAGAATTTAACGAGTAACTATATTTTATATACTAGTATATATTGCATTGTGACTCATCAGATAATTATTTTCACAATATACATGTAGTAATAAAGCAACGAGACCTACCAACAACTCCACCAGCAACTGCACCTGTGGACGGGCCTTCGTCTGTTAGTCTTTGAGGTATATTTGCTAAAGAATTAGAGAAAATCACTTTAAAGCATTTTCGTATGAGAGCGGGTATCATTTAAAGTAATAAAGTGTAAGACCTTGATTATAGCTTATTTGTGTATGAAATTTCTCATAGCATGTCTTAAAATATTTCAAAATGTTGCAGGATTTTCTCCCTTTTTATCTTTCCTTAAAAGGATGATTTTACTTGCTATGTACATTTTTAGACCGTTTGATGCGTGCTATATTATAGATGTTTGCAGTAACTTTTTTTAAATAGAAGATTTTCATTGAAACCGTTTCTCAAGCTATATAGCAGCGCTGTATATACCTTACACCACAGCGTATATCTTTATCAGGTCTATGACCAAACATGGGCAAATACTGTTAACTTTTACAACTAGTATTGGAACGACTAAAAAATTCGCATTAAAAAAGACATATACAATTACACCATTAGTTTTTTTTGTAATAACAGCAAAATATTCATACTGGATGAAATGAAATATGGTAGATAAGGAACATTATTCCAGCTCAAAGTCCATTTGGACAATACAAATCGGGAGCAGAGCAAACACGGACCTCAAAAACATCAGAGGTGGGATCAGGTGCCATAGATGAGCGAGCATCCCAAAAGAAAACAAAAAAAAAAACCTCTCGAGAACATACTCGAAAATAAGGTAGCTTCACTTCTTATTGGGTTGCTCTCATCATCACCATACAATGTATAAAGTCTGATAATGTATTTTGCACCCGGTTCCAAGTTACTCATTGTATGCCAGGGATTGTTTTTATGGATAAGGAAAGCCTTCTCGTCCGTCCCGTCAGCTGAAAAAAAGAATTAAATGCTGCTAAGAAATGATAGTAAGCTTTGTAAGAAAAACAAGAAACATTCTCCATTCATAAAGCACTTCAAGCTGATAAAGTCATAAATTTGAATTAAGGAATACAATTTCACAGGGATTTCAGATTTGTATTACGTACAATATCTTCAATAAATGGACAAAATTTACCATGTAATAAATCAATATCAATATTTAAAAAAATAATATTAATTAATTGAAGAAAATATGCAAGGACAATGTTATTTACGGTGATGTAGATGAAATTTGGGCTAATTTACAATTTTTCATTATTTTACAATTTTTTTCTTCTGATATTACTCCGCAAGTTAGGATTCTTTGTGTATTTAACGTAGGTCGCGGGTTTGCAGGCTATTTAAAATTGTCCGAAAACATACCATGTAAATCAGTTATGTGAATCCTCTACCTTCGTTTTATATTCTCTGCAAATTTTATCAAATTCGTCTGCATCGTTTTTGTGTAATTAAATCCCAAACATGCCATTGTTGTCGTTACATTTTCGACATTATTCTATTGAATTATATAAGAAAAACGTCGTTTTCGGCTCATTTTGAGGCAAGATTTTGTTTCAAAAAATATCAATAACTTTTAAATGGTGCAGACGAAATTGTTTTCCCTTTGGTATTTTAACAAAGAATTGATTTGAAATAAATCAATGCGAAAAAATTAATATGTCTTCGGGTTAGTTTTCGCGTAATTTAAACGTGGATAATTGCTTTTATATCGCAAAATGTAACATTTTTAAGAACGACGTCATAAAATATCGCGACGTCATGCTTGACGTCGTGAATATTTATCCGGTATTCAGTGCAGAAAAATAAGCTAAAATAATTTTTATAAAAAAGAAATTCACGTCTATCTGCTTTTAAGTGACCCGTGAATCGTATCATAATAATTCAAAATCAATGAAATGATTATTATACATGTTTCTCTTCAGATTAGGGTTTTTGTACGTCTTATATTAGTGAAAATTCTCGCAAAGGACGTAAAACAACAATCAATCCTTTACTTTCTTTCTTCCAATTTACTTTCTTTATCTGTTGTTTTCTTACCGTTTCTTTTCTTTTTGTTTTGTTTTGCTTTTTTTTTCTCTCGTAGATTAGACGTATCCTTACATTTGGCTAGGTATTTTTCTTTTCCAGCGTGCTGGCGGAAAACGGTATTCTTTCATTCAAGTAATTCAAGTATATAAAATGATTTTATTTAGACCATTCAGCAAAGCGCTCAAATCTACGAATTTCTGCCAAATATCGTCCGGGCTAAATACAATATATTTTCAGTATATATTTAAACAAAATATTTATTTTTAAATATCACATTTTCAGTGGGGTAAATGGGAGGAGGATTTAAAAATTAATTTTATCTGATGTAATCAACAGCCAGTTTTTTAGAACATTAATTCTACTTGTTGGACATGGAAAGCAAAGTAGCGAATCAAATCTTTAGGTAACAGCATTGCAAGCTGTTGCTTAGGGGACGATCATTTCAGGGGGGTGGGGGGGCTTACAGATTTTGGAAATAAATAATCTGTCCTCGAAAATGTTGAATATAAATAATCTGTCCTCGACTGGGCAAGAAAATAAATAATCTGTCCAAGACTAGTTCTAGCAACCCCCCCTCCCCCCCCCCCCCCAAGGGAGTTTTCAACTTTTATGTTTTTCTTTCTTTTTTTTATGCTTGTCAGACTTTTTTCAGTGAAGAAGAAATAAATAATCTGTCCTTATTTTTTTTGGAAATAAATAATCTGTCCTTCACCGACATGAAAATAAAACAATCTGACTCGGTAAAATTTTCCACCACACCCCCCCCCCCTTCTCCCTCAGAATCAAATATTGTCCCCTAACAGGAGGTCCGTGTCGCTAAAAAATTGTCTTAATGTTTCATCGTACCTTAGCAGTATTTAATTTAAACTTGTACATTTATATATATATTTTTAAAAAATATCCTCTTTAAAAATAAAGTTTAATCTTTTGATGTAACAGGTGTATTTGCGATTTTTTTTTTAAATAATGGTTTCTTTCTTAATAAAACAAACCGATGATTCAAATACGATCAAAGGAAGAAAAGGTCAGTTGAACCTTGTGTCCATATCGTTTTGCGATACCAAGTGAAAACAAATCAATCGCAATTTCTCGGGCCTTTCCGACAAGCCGAAAAACAACCACTTGTTTTTCCAAGCTTGGAAGAAAGGCCCGAGAAGATGCGATTGATAACAAATAATTAAACTTTTTTTAATATTTCAAGTGTCGATCATTCGAATTGTAATAAGCCTTCTTCACTAAATTACCAATTCCAACAAAAGTTTTACCTAAGTATTGTATCGACTATACAAATCGTAAAAAGCCTTCATTATTTGTGATAAGTTGTTGCTTAAATAATATAACACTAAACTACTAATTCCAAGAAAAGTTATAGCTAAATAATGATATACTGAAACAAAAATCATCGCAGATTTCTTTTTCATTGTGACGTCATAATCAAATGTGCACAAGAAAGTCGCCCAAATCATATAAATTGCGTACCCAGTTTTAACGACGTCAGCAAACCCGCGACCTACGTTAAATACCATTTTGCAAATATTATGTATGTTATAGCTTATGTATTATTTCAAATAACTGAAAAGAATACAATGAAGAATATCAAACAAATAAACAAAAGCCATTCCAGATATCATGTCTCAAGAATTTGATCATTAACCTCATATATTAAAGGACCATTCTCTACAAGGCCGTTTTGCTGCCTACAATGACTTCAAATTTTCAAGTAGTATTTTTCCTTTTAAAACTGCATGAATCAGTAGGCGAATGATCCCAATTTAATGATAAATGTTGATTGGTTAATGCTACAAAAGTATTTGTTATGATATAGGGTCTAAAGTAATGTACTATCAGTCCGTACTAGCATTAGGGTAATGGGAAAACTGAAGAAGGTGCGTGTGTTATGCAACTCGTCATAACCACTTTAAACCAATACCAAAATTTACATGTAAATTTCTTATAAACATAAAAAGTGACTACCAGATTATGAAATTGGTTTAAGGTGGTTATGACATGTAAATAAACACTTTTCGCTTCATTTTTTCGATCCTTGCAGGAAAATCTAATAAATGAAAATGAAGGCTATCAGCTTATGCGGATTATTTCATGTTCTTAACTTTCAGTCAGATCACATGTTTCTGTTGAACAAACAAAAAAATATGAGTCATTTTTCATAAGTGCATTTTTACTCGAAAAATGTCAGTTTCTTACAAAAAAAAATCTAAAATCAAAGAACTGGAAAGACTGGAAGTTATGAAAATGCAATTTATGACAACTTTCATTGCACTGTCTGCTAGAAATAAAGAAAAAAAACTTTTTTTACATATTCAGGTGTGAATATGTTTTTATTATAATTAATATTTTTTTTATTATTATAGTTTAGTTTATTTATGCTACATTTTTGAATTTATTCATTAGGAGTACCGCATATCTGTTAGTACCAGAAGTGGTAAAGTGGGAAGCTACATTTGCTATTTGTGTTATTAACTTATTTTTCTATAGGTACACATATAACTTAGGGAATTACTGATGGGGTGGTTTCATAATGGGAATTCTCGTCTAAACCTTTCAGAAGGGCCCTCATATTTTTCCGTATGAGTGACATAAGATCCAAATATTTTGTGTTATCTGGGTGTTGAGAGGACTCAATCTATTTGGATTTCAGGAAGCAACACATATGTTTGGTAGCATTATTAGCTACAAGAACAGCAGTTCTGTCTGAATAAATGAAATTCCAAGGGGAGAGGAGTTTCCTAAGTTTACACTGATTGATAATTGAATGTTGCTTTACGCCATTTTAGAATTTTTCACCCAAATAAAGAGACTATCCGCTGTAGGTGAAGTGTCACAATTTTGATTTATGCATGGTTTCATCATTAACACGACCTCCTTTTCTAAGGTAATATCCAAAAGACCCATGACTTTTACTTTTAACGCCAAAGACTTAGCAAAGAACAACCACTAGCCGCGTTAAATGCTTTAGTTTTTGACGCGGCACTGGGAACGAGAATTGAACCCTTGGGCCTCAAGAGTTCAACCCCCGTCAAACCCTTAGGATCCATTTTGTACCTGGGATGTTAGTCCATGGATATACTAAAACTTTTGATATGCATAGTGAAAGAAGCTGTTGAAAATCTTCCCCGTTTTTATGGAGAAAAGGGAGGGGGGGGGGCGGCAGAGACTTGACTTTTATATATACATTTGTGTATTATATTTTAGATAGCATTTTTAATTAAATATATTGTTATACATGCGAAATAAAATGAAATCAAAGCAATTCTTACGAATTTAACTCATTTTACGTTCCAGTATATATTTTCAATACAGCCGTTCTTTGTTTTATATACTCACTACTCATATGATTAATCAACATGTACTTGCATTAATATTTTAATCCTGTACATTAATGGAATCTTTACTTTTTGTTAATTTAGAATCTATTTTATTAATGCCAACTCAATTTTTAGTCAATCGCAAACAAAAGTCCTTCAATGTTTTCAACAATTGATACACAACTGTGTAAGTTCAATAGATACTTCGAAACCATATTTCTTATATGAGTATTTCATGCGTAAAATAGGTAGCACATCTATAAAACAATACAAAATTACAAATAAAACTTAAATGAAATAATACTTTTGAATTAAATGATAATTAAACATTTTTCAACATCATATGGGGTGCATTTTGTAAAGATTTACATTCAATATATGCAAAATATGAATGCATCAAAATTCACGTCATAAAAAAATTATCCTAATCCTTAAATGAAACAATCTTTGTATTCATTACTTTAATTTGATATATGTCCGACAGAAATAAACAATGTTTGATAATTTAAATTTAGAAACATGCATAGAAAACTGATGTTTATAGACCTACCCCCAATTTTTCATAACTTGACCACCATTTGTTATTTCTAAATCACGTGACGTAGGTGATCGATGTTGAAAAACAAACACCAGAATCATAAAATGGAATGATTTAAGTTATATAAAATCCCATTTTTAAGTGATTTTATCGTAGGCCGGAGAATGACCTTATAGAGAATCATCCTTTAGTACTAGCAGAATAAGCCCTAGGGCTATGAAAGTAAACTGAGGCTTTAAAATTTAAATAGTTTGTATTTCCCATCATTCGGATTTTCGTTAGATTAAAAATGGGTAAAAAACGTTTATTGTTCAAAGTCTAATTCTGTACTGTGAATTCACTAATTTTCGCGAGGGTTTAATTTTCGTTGTTTTCAAATACGAAAAGACCCTCGAATGTCTACCCTAAAATGTAATTTTTTCTATATTTATAACTACTTAAAACCTATCAAACTTCAGAATCAAATCCCTGCAAACCAATTGTTGGTGCTCAAACCTCAAAAAAATTCGACCCCACGAAAATATTTGACTTTACAGTAATTATTTTTAGCAACATTATTTCATTTCTATTATATTTAATCGTCCAAAGAGTTTTGTTGCTTGTTTTATTTTGTTAATAAAGAAAATCTTGGTCATAATGTAAGAAATAGAGTTATTGTATAAGAAATACTTAGGGACCAGTAGTATGGAAAATAGGTCTTTGACGTAGTTATTTAAAAGTGAATAAACACTACAATTATAGGTCTACAAAACGTGGATTTTCATTCCTATCAGTGAAATTTTTCTTTGTCATCTGAGTAAACATCATCTTTAATTCCGCGCTTACCTTTGGTGTACGTAAAGTTGATTCCCTGTATGTTATAACAACTGGGTGCTTGCTCCCACATTATTTTTATACTGGTAGGAGATACGACTTCTGCAATTCTTACGTTCATGGGACCGAAATCTAAAGAAACATATTAAAAGCTTCCCGTTCACTGTATGTATATATAGAAAATAATCACATGGTTTACTAGACAAAGAGATAATGTGTTTTGGGGGTATACTTACAATCGTTGACTCCCCGGAGTGTAGTAAGATTATAAATCTGAAACATCATTTCAGTGTTAGATACCTTTTTAACATCATTATCAGAAAAAAAAATTTAGCATACCTATTTTTCTTAAATATCATTAATGTAGTAGGAAGAAAGGTAATGATAGTATTTCTCTTACTTCAATACTCTTTTGGATGAAAAGTCCTGCGGAATTGTATATATCTAACTGCATAGTAACGGTTTCTGTTGCAACATTGCTAACATTCATTGCATGGCAATTGTCAAAGTCTAACTGGATGGTTCTGCCGAATGAGTTACCACTTGGAAGATTTTCATCACAAGGAAACCTATTACAATAATTGACATCCTACAAAGATAAAAATTGTTTTAAAAATTCAGTCTTAAAACCTGCAACAGAGCAAAACCTCCTTTCAACTTAATGATACATTCTAGTTAAGTTCCAATAGACACTCCACAGATCATCTAAATTAAATTTGATTTTGGGTACATCATGCTCAAAAAATGAACATTTAAGACTATACTATCCTTTAAAAAAAATTATCAACCTACTCTCACTGGATTTTTATATTCATACTCTCTGTTATTTATCAAAGCCCCAGTTGATTTGGCGTAGAAGCGATACTTGATTCTATTAACACCACTATTTGGATCAGTAGCACCAAGGATCTGAAGTCTGCATGAGAATAAAAATGTTATATGAAAATCAATGAAAACGTGTAGAAAATCTTTTACCGTCAATTACATTAAACAAAGTATCCAACCTGCTTGAAAAATCCATTTTGTTTTCGCCAATATTTTTCTGCAGAGTAGGATCTTGCGCAGTGGGTGGCGAAGAATCATAATGAACAAGGATCCTTTCAACTTTGGATTTTCCAAGTATGTCATAAGCCTTTACCCAAACACTAACAGAATCCCCATCCCTAAGTTCTTGACTTAAGGAAATATTAATAGAAGATTCAGCAATACTTTGATTTTGATAAGACGGAGGATTCAGCTGGTTTCTCCCAATATAATAGGCAACATCGTATTTTACAATCCCTCGTTTATTAATTATAGCGTTCCTAGTTCTTTTTCCTTCTAGATCATCATATTTGTCAGGGATAGTTTTATAGCCATTACGAATACCCCCATCGCTTAAAGAATCTGGAAAGTGTCTGATGCGGTTCAAAAATTGGCCCTCTTCGTGAAGAGTATTCACAAAATGGTCTTTCCACGTGAGGGATATAGTTTTAGGGTTTTGAATTTGCCAGTTATAATCTGATCTTGGGTTACCAGAGGTGGCATAGAGCCTGTGAGAAGAGTCTGAAGTTACAGTTGATACTGGATCATAAATAACAAACCGTCTGGTGTAGGCCGAATTGTTGGCTTTGTCATTCGCCTCTAATATCCAAGAATAAACACCAGGATCCTTCGGTCTGTATGAAAACGTGTGCTCGGCACCCTCTGTAGTTTCGGGGAATTCTGTTATGATCAGAGGGACCGGGTTTGGAATTAGATCAGTGTAAGGCTCTTTCAAATTACCCTCCCCATCAGGTTGCAACTTAAAAACCTCTAAAGCGTATCGAGCAATTGTGGATAGCTGATCTTTCCATCCCTTCCACCTGATTCTGATGTCAGTCTAAAAACAAAAATTGAAATATTTCAAACAATGGAGAGTCTCTCTTCGAAACGTTTCACTTCGTACATCCATTTTGTTCTAAGACTATAGAATCACATATAACAAATCAAAAGAACGAGAAAGAAGTTTACAAATATTACATATAAATACACAAAGAATTAGATTTGATCCCTGTTGATTGATTGATCCCTGTTGAAAAAATGTGTTTGATGATTCTTACGTCTGTGACATCTTTAGTAATATGCATCATTGTGGAAGTAGAATCACTGCACTCGTTTTTCTCAGAGCAATGATATGGCGTGTCTGTGTCAAATTTTATTTCTATTATTTTTCTTGCTTCTCTGCCCTGGTAATATTGTTTGTCTCCGTTCCTGAGAACTCTAAATCCACCATTTTTTGCTCTAAATGTTACTTTATATCTGAAGACAAAAACCATATCTTGTTCTGTACAATTGATTTATATAACATTTGGTAAATATGCAGATTACATGCCGTAAATCTGGAAATTTTTACGCCATTTATTTTTGCGAATCTAGGTCAAAAGTCTGTTGATTCATTTTTACGTTTAAAATTTTTGCAAACCGTCGTTTGAACAGCTCTTACAGTTTTCTTAAACGTTTGTAAGTTACGCATATACATACAATAAATTACAAATAAACATACAACAATAAACTACGCCAACGTTCAATATTCAGATAAAAATATTAGAAAAGATAAATCATCCAAAGTGTTGAAAGTTTTCATAACATTTTCATAAATCACACATGTACATAAAATATGTATAACGATGTAATCTGTAAGTAATCTTTAGATAAAAACTTTTTTGTTGTTGATTTATATTTAAGAAAAATATTTTTGCGAATGCAATGCATGCGCAAATTTGCTGAAAACTTATCTACACCAAAAATTTCCAGATTTACGGTATGTCGGCTGTAGAATACTTACGTGTCTCCGGAGTCGAATCGAGTGTTGAAATTGTCAATACTATCATCACAGCGAAATAGTTCTTTATTTTCAGGATCATCTCTACTGATTCCCGAACAAGTTAACTTTTTGTTGTATTTACCTAAACAGAGTTAAACCAAAGGTTTTAGAACGCGGATATTTCATTTGAACATTTATGAACATTTTAGACTTAGAATATATATATTCCTATGCGTATCAAAGTCATTTGAGTTATTAATCGTGAACTTACTTATCATTTAAGAAATAAATAACAAGTTTAAAAACTGAAGTGGGTCAGTCACGTGATCAAATCCTTTGAAGGCCGAAAGCCTTCTCAGAAGATTTGATCACGTGCCGAACCACTTCATTTCCCAGTGAAGTTTTTAAACTTGTTTTTATTACTTATATTTACATTTGAGACGGACAATAGAATTTAATCGAATATAATTGTTGCACTGATTGTTCTTCGTAGATTTTGACAAATTACGCAAGGTGTAAATCGGCTTGAAAAGCGGTTACGCTTCAAATCAAATTCATCTGACAAAGCTTGAAAGGATTCTGTTTTGAAGGGAATATTCTGTGAAGGGCTACTTGTGATCAATTATAGTGAGCATATATTGTGAGTTAGTGAGACATATATTGGTGTCTGGGAATTTTTGTATTCATGAGAACCCGTATTCGATGTAAACACACACACACACACACACACACACACACACACACACACACAAGAAACACGTCCGATGTTTGATAATAATAAGTCGGAGGAATTTTGGTCGAAAAGGGATGGATGGAGACACTTTTCCGGACCAGTAAACTTGAAATCAAGTATAAAATTTGATCAGAAGCATAAAATCCACGATTTCAGGCATATTTATTATGATGTTGACACGGAGACACTGCGACAGCTTACATTGTTAAGACGACGATCTCGATGATGGAGGTGTGCCTACCGAACTTCCAAAGTGTTTGTCAGCTATTTGTGGCGTGATTGCATTACACTGATATTTAATTTCCAACAGATTTTCAAATTTATCGTGAATAAAGTTTAATGAAAAAAACTTATAGCATTCAGAGGTCTACAAGAAAAATTAGGGTAAACGTTGAGACTGCAGCTCAGACATGAAACTTATAGCCTAACACGTAGTTTGTTTTCTATTCTCTATGTAAAATCGATCAACAACTTATTAAATACTTGTTTACATTGTAAATAAAATGATTATTACATGTATCTTACTTGCGTATTTTGTACATTTTTATACATGAAAAGCATGCTATATTGCTAATAGAGTAAGTCTTTTTATTTAGATATTACTGCATGGAGTGATTAGGTCAGGTAATAACCTATGACCTTCGAAAAACGTCATACAGATATGAAGATATTTGCTCTCTGTATGTTTATATAATAGAGAGATACCACAAATGTATAAATAGTAAAATAAAATAAACGTTTATTAAATCAGGATGGACATTAATGGTGCACCAAATACAATGACTGGATATAAAACAAAGAGATTTTAATTTCGTGAACTATATATAATTATCTTGATAGAATATATTGGATGTTGAAGTTGGTACAATGAATTATAATTTCATAACCTGTTTTGTAATGACATTGATCAAAATAAACCAATCAATCCCATAAAGGGTACTAAGATTTGAAACGAAATGCAAAATCATTGCAGCACAGAGGACCGTGCTATTCTTTACAAATAAGTTTAAGTTTTGGTGTATGGGATTAAGGTGGGAGAAGTTATTCAGAATTTAAGGTTAACTATACATTAAAAAGTTTATACATCACATATACTGTATAAATTACGAGATACACAATATATTTACTTCCATGAAGTACATCTCCTGTAGTGTCTAGAGGGACTGAGCCCATGAATAATACCATCGTAGGTATACCTTGATAGGAGAATTGTGCAGTGTTGGGTTCTGAAGTCATATGATATATATAATTAAGTGTTGTCAAATCGGACGATTTTTAGTAACCGGTTACTCGCTTACTGTTCCGATCGAGTACCCGGTTACTCGGATGATTTTTCGTTACAGTTACCATACATCTATTATTTATCTTATCCTTTACCTATCGATAAAAATAAAACAAATGTACTGTATATGGACTATATTTACAATTAAAAACTCAAACACACACCAATTATCTTCAAAGAATTTTTGATTAAATGATTTTAGATGTCACTCGAAACGGACAGTTTGTTTTTGTTTAATTAAGCAAATAATTTTATCAACACACGAAGAAGACAGATATATAGTCGTCAATCACCATTTCACAATGACTCTCGCTACGTGTTCCTTTTCAGCCCCTGATATTTGTCGCGATCAAGGAGAATTAAAATACCCGCAATTACTGGTTGATTTATAGAGTGTCCAGTAAATCGCTGGTTTCCGAAAAATGTTTTAATCTTCGTTGATTTTTAACATGTTTGTAGGTCCACTCGTATACAATAACTCCGATTCAAATAATTTAATTTTTACAGATCTCGAATCAGCTGTTATATTCAAATACTTCCAAGCTTTATATGTCTGCTGCGGCATCTTATTAAATTATGTTCCTTTGACTAACACAGGTGTAAATGATTAATTATAACTCAGGTCTTCTAAACTTTTATACCCCTGGCAATCAAAGCTGTCAATTATATAAACTGTGAAAACTAATCAAAACAAATCAATGCCATTTGTGAACCACTAGATCAAGTCTAACGGTAAATAATAAATTACGGAAATGTGTTATTATATATTTATAAACAATGTAACATTTATTTTCTACGTATTTACTATGTAATGTATTTTTATCCGGGTAACCGAATAGCAGTTTTACTAACCGATACTCGCATCGTTCGACGGTTAACCGGTTAACCTGGTACTCGTTGACAACACTAATATAATTGTATATGATCACAGTGAATAAGAAAACTTTTGGGGTTATAAAAGTTCATTCGAAAACGTTTGGTTTTTTTTTTTAAATTTCTATTACACTATTTCAAAGAGTTGAGCTGATAACGGTCAATGAGCTAAGAAATAACCAGAAGGAAGTCTGACTTGAATTCGATTCTTGGTCAGAACTTGTGAATCTTTCTGAGTTCAAATAAATTATTTTTCCTATCTTATATTTACCGAAAGTATCCTTTAATCTGTCTATATCTACGTCCAATCAATTGTAGTTAATTTGTAATTTGTATAATTATTAAACTGTGTTTATGTATAGGCAAGTAGTACATGCAGAAACTGAATTGTGTTTTTTAAGGATTCATCAATAATTTTAATATATGTCAATTGCGGTTTTTATTTTATTAGATTGTGTTTCAATGATATAACATCTCTTTTTGGTGTTATGATATCTTTCTTAGCTTATCTGCTTTATACTCAGGGGCAGAGAAGATTTTCAAAGCGATAATTCATTTTCACTATATAATCAATTTGGCCCCACCCTAACACCAACGTCCCTGACTCAAAGGCCATGAATTTCACAATTTTAGAAAAGGCAACCTTGCTTATCATAACTTTGCACTATGTTTATCTATTAAATTCCTAGGAACAGAGAAGAAAACGTTCAAAGAATGAATATATTTTTTTCTATATTAACCCTTACACCAGAGACAAGACCCTAGGGCTATGAAGAAGATTTTCGAAGAATATCCATTTTTCCCATTATAATCAATACAGCTCCATGCACCCTATGGCTGCACTGATCGCATGACCCAGGGGCCATGAGTTTCAAAATTTTGAAAGAAGCACCCTTACTTATCATAACCATGCACTTACATGTAGCTATGTGTTAACTATACAGGGGTAGAGGAATTTATCAAAGAAATAATGCATTTTCACTATACCATTAATATTATCCCACCCTATCTCCGGGAATCCTGACTCTAGGGTCATGAATTTCAGAATTTTCGTAAAGTACTCTTTTCTTATTATAATCATCGCAATAGTTTGACCGCTTGATGTCCAGGGATAAAGAAGATTTTTGAAAATTGCAATAATTTTGATGGTTTTGGCCCAATCTCTCAGGCCCCAGGTTGGCAGGGACCAGATAGAGTTTACTATAGTTAACTATAGTTTACTATAGTTAACTATAGTGTTAACTTTGACACTATGAAAACTACAGTGTTAACTTTGACACTATGATTTACTATAGTGATCACTATGAAAACTTTGATTTACCAAAATGATAACTTTGACACTATGAAAACTTTGATTTACTATAGTGATCACTTTGACACTATAGTGATAACTTTGAAAACTTTGATTTACTAAAGTGATAACTTTGAAACTTTGATTTACTATAGTTAACTATAGTTACACGTAACTATAGTATTTTTTTGTTAGGGCATGAAATTCACAATTTTTGTCACCCTTTGCCAATTGATGCTTTATACCAAAATTATTGAAATTGGTTCAGCTGTTTATGAGAAGAAGCTGAATATGTTCAAAATTTTATAACCGATGGACGACGAACGACGGCTGAATAAAAGGATACCAATAGGTCACCTGAGTGACTCAGGTGACCTGAAAGAGAAACTCGGAAAATTTTGTGTTTGAGATTGGTCATCAACAAAATTAATTTGTTAAAAATCAATCTCATTCTAAACGAATGTGCTCTGAATTTGATATTAATAGGTTGCTGAAGTTCCTCATTGACAACATTGATATAGTGTTCGGAGACCAGGTCTTGCAACAAACTGTTGGGTATCAGATGGGCCCTAATTTTCCTCCTTTATTAGCCGACCTGTTGTTTTATTCCTATAAAGCACAATTTATTCAAAGACTTCTACATGAGAAGAACAAACACTTGCTGTAACCTTAGACTCAACATTTAGATATATCAACAACGTTTTATGAAATTAACAATTATAGTTACTTTACTTTCATTCACATCTCGATATATGCCAGTGAACTTGATTTAAAAGACAATTGTTATGGCCAAGGTTCAAGTTGGCTAAAATTTTGTAAAATTGGGTCAAACTCCAAGGTCAAGGTCAAAAGGTCAAATATGATGGTACCAAAAGAAAGGCCTTGCCACAAGGAATACACATGTGAAATATGAAAGCCATAGCTTCAACCAATCAAAAGTAATGAGCAATGTTAAAGTTTTTGAGGACAAACAGACAGCCGGACAGACAGGGCAAAAACTATATACCCCGAATCTTCGATACGGGGGCATAAAAATTCTTTTTTCCTGAAAACTTACTTCCTTTGTTAGTTTATAATTTTTGAGCACAAATGAACTACTCTTAACAGTGAAAAAATTACAAGTTACTATGTAGGTATGTGAAATATAAAATAAGTATTTCAACTCACTTCCACTAGTTAAATTCGTTACTATGACAGAAATATCGGCCTCTGTGACACCGAGTTGAAAGTATTGAACATAACTCGGTTGAATTGGCAGATCCAGTGCATCAGGACTATAAATAGACTGAAAGGTAAAGTCGAGTCTATTAAAATCCCTTCGATTTGTCCAAAATGTCTCAACATTTTCCGGACTCATTGCTGAATCAATGGTCATGTTGTACATTATCATCTGTTTCACTTGATGGTAGTATCCAAGTTTTACAGTGCTTTGCTCGATGACTGGTTCATATATTTCGCCTGTTGGATCTACAAGAGCAGGAAATGACGTAAGTTTGTATCTATTTTTCAAAATTTTGTCACAATGATATATATATATGTAAGTGAACTAATTCATATGTACATGTACTAGTATCCGTTTAAATATGATTTTATGTAAAATGAAGAGCACTTAATGTTTTATTTCGAATACATGGACATGACTGCGTTCGCAATCGTACTCAGCGAAGCCTTACCCTAGTGCAATGCATAAACTTGGATTAAAACCCAGAATCATTGATCGAAGGTTTTAATCCGAGGAGCGCAACCGGCCATAAAAAGTACTGAACACACTGTATAAATGAATAAATTTATAAATGAACACTGGCTACCATGCCGTTCAAGATCGTAACTCAAGTAAAGTTAGATTTTAGTGATAGTTCTCGATTGGCAAGCAATATGTTTAAGGAATGTTTTTAAGTTCTGTGTGAGTTACTGGTGTGTAAATCAAACAGACTTATCAGGTAGGCATATTTCATGAAGCGTGCTAGCACTTAATGAAAAATATGCCTACGTGCAAGTCTGTGTGATTTACACACCAATAATTCACACTTAACTTAAAAACATCCCTTATATTTACATTTTACATGTTCAAAAACACCAAAAAATGTTTGAATTATCCGCTGCCCTATATCGTTACATTTTCATTAATATCTCTGTAGCTTAATGTGACGTCACTAACGCCAGTTTCTCCGTGTGTATTTCTACGCGTGAGTATACACGAAATTGGCATTCAAATCAATTTCACAGTTGGCCTTGTAGAAAAACACAGCAAATGTAAATATAACAAATTAAAAACCTGTGCTAAAATTCGTGCACATATTATCCATAAAATTAATGTACTTGACAGTCAAGAATATAATTGAAAGTAAAATAAATTATAAAGACATTTGTAAACATACAGCTAAGGCAGTTTTCTGTGCTCGTGCCTCCTGTTGGATAAAAGTTGTTTGTACACCGACAGTTGCTACCAACACAGTAACCCGGATAGCAAGGACGCAGACTCGAACATTCGGCAACTAGAAATTTTTAAGAAAAGAAAAATCTGTGAACAGTAGATTTCAAATAAGAAAGAAGAGGCCTATAGGCTCCATAAGTCACTTGATTATGGTGGTTCCCAACTACATGTACATTGTATGACTAACTCAACCTCACCTTGCACTGGAACTTGAGACCTATTTGATCATTTCTTAATTGATAGAGATCTTTCTGTCCATTTCCTTACGTATAGCGTTTTTAAGAAAAAAGAAAATTTTCAAAGATATATACAGTATATATTCTAATATATAGTCAAATAAATCCAACACAGGGTCTTGAGCTCTTGAAAAATTTGGAGTTTGGTAAAGGACTTATACTCATCATATGTAAGTTTGCTTTCAAAATATTCAGAAGTAATTATATTAAAATCTTTTGTGTATTTTTGAAACATAATTAAATAAGCATAGGGTCTGAAACCAGCCTCTAGGGATAAGTTTACAATCTGTGTAGTAGGCTTACTTCTCATTATGAGTAGATATTTTCAAAAGTATAATGAATATTCTACTAAATACTTAAACTTGATTGCAGTGAAATAAATTTTATTGCTCCTTATACATGTAATTATAGAAACTGTTTGCCTGCAAGATGTCATCTGAGAAATGGTGTCAATTTTCAAGCGTATTATATAATCAAAAAGTCCAATCCTTATCCTGATGTCTGAAAACAAAATCTAGAAGATTCTAGTAGAGGGCAAAAATGCTCATCATAAGTATACAAACAGTTGCATGTGCACACGTGCCTGCTTGGTGTCCAGGAGTGATAAAGTTTTAATAGGTATTATAATTTTTCAATTAATGACCAACTTGAATCCAAATGAACACGAATTGTGAGTTTTTGGTAGAGATCTTACCGGGTGCGAAAATTATATAAATTATGCAAACAGTTTGACGCTTGCTAAACTTCCATTGAATACAAACCAAGATTTTCAAGAAGAAAAAAAAAGATATCTTTTTAAAAAAAACAATGAAACTTACTATCAGAACAATATTTTCCCGTGTAATCTGCATTACATTCACACACATCTGGCGCTATGCATGTGCCTCTTACGGCGCCCCCACAGTCACCACGACAGATAGCTTTAATACAAATAAAATAAAAAAAAAATAGCAACTTATTTAGACTATTTGTTACATGGATATTTCGTTATTTTTTCAATTCTAAGAAACCCCTTTATTCAATTTATATTCAAGAAGTATGTCAGAGAAATTTGTAACTTCCAGATCATTCTCTCTCTCTCTCTCTGGGGTGGGTTGGTATGGGGATGTGTGTAAATGAGTGTGTCTATGTATGTGGAGAGAGAGAGATTAATCTTTTAATTACAGTACTCACGTATATTACAAGCTTTATTCCCATTGTGTCTCCATCCTGAACAACAGAAATATTCTGTGTAACGGATCTCCACGATAAAATTACCATAAGCACAACACCTGTGGGATTGTCATGTATAAATGTACTCAAACATGCATTTCAAAAAGGAAAATAGATATCAATTTATACAAATGAGAACAGCATAAGGGTAAAAATTTGTTATTCATTTGGCTGTATAATTATGGGGAAAAAGCAATTCAAAACTTTGCCTGTGATTGGAACTTGTCTAATAGGGCACTGTCTTCCCCCAATTTTCTACTGAAATATAAAATTTGGTGTAACATGTATGACTACAACACCAAATTTTATACTTTAATAAAAATCTATGGGAATTAGTACTTTGTATACATGTGAGCTGGTCAGAATGATGATACAGAATGTTTTCAGGGCCATCAACAGGTTTTTGGGGTGAAGGGAACAGTTGAATGTCTGGGAGGGGTGCCCCCTCCTCTATAAAGTTGATTTTTTTCCTGTTCTTGAAAACCATTTTTGTGGGTTCTTGTGGATTTTTGAAGTCATTTTTTCATTACTAAATGAAAAGAATCTGGCTTTTTTTTTTTACTTTAAACAGATAAATGATTAATTTACTTCGTTTTCTTTTTCCTATGAAGATCGCGCCCACACCATTCTGATGGGTTTGCAATAGAGTTGTGACAGAATTCACAAACTTAAGGAAGCTTAAGTTACTTTCATGTAGGGCCATCTTTAAAATAATGTTTGTTTGCCCTCTCCCGACTCAGGGTAAAAAAAAAAATTGGGTCGGTAGGTAGGTGGGAAGATTTTTTCCCCAGAAATTTCAACACATTTGTTGACGGTATGAGAAAATTGAGGAAGAAAAAGAAAAAAAATACCGTTTCCTGGAGGTTTTAAAAAAGTCTTGAGTCGGGCCATTTCTAGCCGGTTGGTCGGGAGAGGGCAAAGAAACAATTTTTTAAAGATGGTATAGCATTGAAGAATTTTCTGTGATATGGACAAGGTTCATATGACAAGAATGAATTGATCGATCTTGAGATCAGCCAGATTGATTGTCAGACTAGAAGAATTGTTTTTTTTTTTTTCAAAAGGAAGGGGGGGGTTAAAATATAATTAAGAAGATAACGTGAAAGACTTCGAAAATCATCCAAAAATGCAAGTTTTCCAACTGGAAAATCCTATTTCGTAGAGAGGGAATGGGAGAGAGGGGAAGGATTCATCTTTCCAACAAAACAAGAAAAAAGTTTAGATAGTATGACATTACTTTTTTATGTCCCAGTATCAAGGATTCGGGGTATGTAGTTTTTGTCCTGTCCGTCCACCTGTCTATCTAGCTGTCTGTTTGTCTGTTTGTCCCCAAACACTTTAACCTTGCCCATAACTTATGATTGGTTGGAGTTATGACTTTCATATTTCACATGTGTATTCCTTTTGACAAGCCAATTCTTTGGGTACCATCACATTTGACCTTTTGACTTTGATCTTGGAGATTGATCCACTTTTTGAAAAATTTTATAAGACTATAACCCTGACCATAACTTTTGAACAGTTGGTGCTTGGGCTTTCAAACTTTACATGTGTATTCCTTATGACAGGACCTTCCTTTGGATACCAACAACTTTAACTGACATAGGAGTTTGACCTTATTTTTGAAAAAAACTTTAACCTTGGCCATAAGCTTTGAATGGTTGGTGCTAGGGCTTTCATACTTTACATATGGAAACCTTTTGACAAAACCTTTCTTTAGATACCAACAAATTTGACCCTTTGACCTTAACCTTGGAGTTTGACCTATCTTTGAAAAACTTTAACCTTGGCTATAACTTTTAAACAATTGGTGCTAGGTCTTCATACTTTACATGTGCATTGACAAAACTTTCCGTTCGATAACAACAATTTTGGCATTGACCTTGACTTTGGAGTTTGACCTACTTTTGAAAAACTTTAACCATTTGCCATAACGTGTGAACGTTTGGTTCTAGGGCTTTCACGTTTCCCGAACAAGTGTATCATTTGTGACAAGACCTTCCCTTGGGGCCCCATTTGACCCTGACCTTGACGTTTTACTTACTTTTAAAAAACTTTAACCTTCGCCATAACTTTTTGAACAGTTGGTGCTAGGGTTTTCAAATTTCTATATTCCTCGAGACAAGACCTTTCTTTAAATTTCAACATTTGTGATCTCTTGACCTGGAGTTTGACTTGCATTTGAGAAACTTTAAACTTCGCCATAAGCTGCAATAGGTGGGCATCAGTGTTTCAAAAACACATCTTGTTTGTTTTCATTACCGTTCAGCTAATCATGCTTGCTTATGTATATATTATGTTATGCCCCAGGGAGGCCATGATTGACAAATAAATCTATTCTGTTCAACGAATGAAAAGATCTTTTACTTATAAAAAATGTTTCCTTGCTCTTGTTATTGATTGATTTTTGCTTAAATTCCATTGACAACTCTCGATTTTCATTGCATTAATCTAACATTTTTAATAATACATGCACAGTGTCCTGTTTTTAGCTACTTACCCCATCCATGTCTGGTATATACATCTCCTTTCCCATACACATTTGACTCTCTCTCTTGAGCAAAGCTGGTTACTATTCCTAATAAAAGATAACATATTTGATCTTTTTTTTTTCAAAAAGGTACATACATGTACACGTACATGTAGATATTCATCCCAGTTGTTTTTCTGGTCATTTTAACTACATGCTTGCAAATATAAATCTGAAAATAGACAATTGAATCGATCTTGAGAACTTAGAAACCGAGGCCCCCAGTCAGGAAGAGTTGGCACGCTCTACTTAAAGAACCCTCACTGCTCAAAAGGCCTTGAGAATCAAGTAAAGGTCTAAATTAGAAGTCCTTAAACGGTATATGGTGGCGTTTTTCATGAGTGAAATAATATTACAAGGGACGTAAAACTACAAAAATCAAATATTTAATCTATCTTGATGAATTTCAGTTACAGACAAGTTTGCATTTCTTTCCGCTTTCATGATTTTTGACGGAATTGAACACAATACCAGTAGGGGACTATAAGAAGGTTTGCTTCATATAGCATGAGATGCGTTGAATTTCAAAGCAATACAAACAGAATTGTGTTGAGCACATACCAGTTCATTGTTTTACATATTATATAAATAATTCATTTATGTATAAAACTAGAGCTAAACTCGTTGCAAAGCAAGGAGTAGGTCTTCCGTCCGATTTTCAGTATCACTACCTGTAAGATCAATGAAGGTGGGTCATTCCTTATGAAGAAGGATACTACATTAAAAATGATATCGATCTGTCTTTAGTATATTTTTATAATTGAAATCTACACCAGTCTAATATACTTGATATTTAGCAATTTATGACAACTTTCAGTTTAACCTAATGTGACGACAATCGACAGAGTATGAGTTCGTAAGTCTTGAGTGATGTTAATCATTTAATTAAACCACTGAAATAATTGTATAACTTATGACATATTGTGAAAGTGAATCTTGAAAGTATTAATAACAGTGTTTAAGACCACCCTAAAAACGCCATCCTCGAGTCTGTTAATCGTGAGAAAAAATATCATGGATTTTACATTGTAAGTAAGCTAGGTCCGTTCTATCTAAAACTATTCTTATGTTTGCCATCAATTTGCTTGTAAGTACATGTACATTGTACACGCATATGGAAATATTGGATGAACGTATAAGTTATTTTCATCAAATTCAAACATAATATGCTGTTTGTAACCAGCATTATTCGAATATATTATGCTGATGGTAATATTATTTTATATATATATATATATATATATATATATATATATATATATATATATATATATATATATATATATATATATATATATATATATATATATATATTAGAAAGCAATATTCAACAAAATCTTTTCAAACGAAAATTCGGTCATGAGCTGGCCAGGACTTCGCTCTTGCCTATGTTAATGAAAATTAAGGGGGATGGGTTCTCTGATAAGAGAAAAAATTTTCCAAGTACAAAATCCCAGACTGTAAAAATGTAAACCTTTGAGTAGTCAATTTAATCAAACCCACATATGATGGAAACTTTGACTTGTACTGCGAAATCACTAATTTTCGTGGAGGGTCAACTTTTGTTGTTTACGAGAGAGGAAGAGACCTTGTTATTCATGTCAATCTTTTTATGAATAATTACACAATTATTCTTCGTCCACGAAAAGAAATCCCAAATGAACTCATATTTTTCCCTCAAACCACGAAAATTTGACGCATCTGAAATGTGTGTTTTTACTTTTCTTTTTATATATTTTTCATATGACATAAACATTTACACTCAGTTTTAAATCCCTTACAAGTTGAAAAAGTTCTTTTTCTTCTTTTTATGAACCATGATTTTAAAATGGTTTAGTGTATCATGTACCATAATTATGTAGAAATTTTATTACTATTAGGTCATCTTTAAAAAAAAAGTTTGCTTGCCCTCTCCCGACTCAGGATAAGAAAATTGAGTAGGTAGGTAGGGGAAATTTTTTTTTATGTCCCCTTATCGAAGATTTGGGGGTATATAGTTTTTGCCCTGTCCGTCCGTGTGTCTGTCTGTTTGTCTGCTTATCTGTTTGTCCGCAAAAACTTTAACATTAGTCATAATTTTTGATTGGTTGGAGCTATAGCTGTCATATTTCACATATGTTATCCTTGTGACAAGATCTTTCTTTGGGTACCATCATATTTGACCTTTTGACCTCCACCTTGGGGTATGACCCAGTTTTACAAAATTTTATCCAACTTTAACCTTGGCCATAACTTTTGAACACTTGGTCCTAGGGTTTTCATACTTCACATGTATTATCCTTGTGACAAGGCCTTCCTTTGGATACTAACAACTTTAACCCTTTGACCTTGACCTAGGAGTTTGACCTACTTTTGAAAAACTTTAACCTTGGTCATAACTTTTGAACAATTGATGCTAGGGCTTTCCTTCTTCACATGTGTTTTTCTTGTTACAAGACCTTCCTTTAGATACAAACAATTATTGCCCATTACCTTGAACTTGGAGATTGACCTACTATTGGAAAACTTTAATCTTGACCATTACTTTTGAGCAGTTGGTGCCAGGGTTTTCATACTTCACATATGTAATCCATGTGACAAGACCCTTTGACCTTGGAGTTTGACCTACTTTTGAAAAACTTTTACCTTCGTCATATCTTTTGAATGGTTTGGTGCTAGGGCTTTCATATTTCACGTGTATTTCTTGTGAGAAGGCCTTTCCTCGGCACCATTAATTTTGACCATTTGACCTTGATGTTTGACTTACTTTTGAAAAACTTTAACCTTTTCCATATCTTTTCACTAGTTGCTGCTAGGACTTTCATATTTCACAGGTTTATTCCTCGGTACAAGACCTTACTTTGGGTACCAACATATTTGATTTGCATTTGAGAAAGTTTAACCTTCGCTATAAGTTGCAATACGGGGGCATCAGTGTTTCACAAACACATCTTGTTTATCAAAAAACACTTGCTAATGTGAAGTTAAAATAGTTATTTATTTAATGGGTTGAGAAAACTTCGGAATGAATAAAAAAAAAAATGTTTCCGGGAGGTTAAAAAAGTTGAGTCGGGCCCTTTCTATTTAGTCGGTCGGGAGAGGGCAAACAAACGATTTTTGAAAGATGGCCTTACATTTCTTTTTTGTCCCCCGCGTGGCGCAGTGGTTAGAGCGTCTGCTCTAGAGTCGGAGAATAAGGGGTTGATCCTTACGTCGCGGGTTCGAATCTCACTGTAGGACGTGGAGACCGGTCCTTCGGATGTGACCGTATAAACCGAGGTCCCGTGTCGCAGTAGGTGCTTGCACGAAAAAGACTCCTCACTCCTCAATGGCCGTAAGTGCCGAGTATAGGACAAAATTTGCAGCTCTCCACCGGCAAGTGGTGGCGTCTCCATATGAGTGAAAAATTCTCGAGAGGGACGTTAAACTACATACAAACAAACAAACCTTTCTTTTTTCATTGAATTTTTTAAAGAAAGATAACTCTTGCTAACGGATGTATTTTTTTCTTACAAGCACATACATGTATAACAATATGATATTCTGACTAGGAAGCAGAGCTCTAATATGTTTTCTAATTAGTGAATTTAATAAGTATGACAATGAATATATTTTTTTCAGATACACCTCATATTTTTAATTCTATGTTGTGATAATAAATTAACAATCTTCCTATTCTCTGTGTAAAAAATTATTCATATCATGGTCTGTCATAAAAATCATTTCTGAAAAAAAAGCGCCACTTCATACCTCATACTATTTTTTCATTATTTTGAAAATCTAATGATATAGTTCTTGATGAAAATCAATATTGGGAAAAAAACAAGAGGCCCAAGGGCCTTTACGGTCACCTGAGTATAATACAACACCGTAAAGGATCCATAGAAGTGTTAAACAAAATTAACTGATAGATGAAGCTATGTTGCCCTAGAATGTCAAAAATCCGGTAAAACTACCCTTGCTCATTGAAACGTGCGAGACCCGAGTGATCTCCTTTGGATCGTACTTGGTTTGCCCAAGTCTTACACGGATGATAGTGAATGCAAAATATACAAATACAATGGACACTTGCCTAGTGTGTAAGGTATTCAATCTATGCAGAAATGTTTGTGTCACTTGCCTAGTACGCAAAGAGAAATCTCTAAATGCCTGTATATTTACTCGAGGAGTTGCCTCTTGGCTTAACAAAAACAACTCAGTGTTTGCATTGCCACTTGGTAACACTTGATGCCAACACTTATCTCTTGGCTATTAAAAAAAAAAAAAATTGGTAATGCTTGTTACCAGCACTCGCCACTTGGCTACATGTATTTGTCACTAGTCACAAACTACAAGTCCCCTAGTCACCCTGGCTCTCTGATCACTTGTTCACTTCGATAAAGTACAAAACAAATTTATGCCACCTCTTTCCAACTAAACTGTGATCTCCACGACCTTAGCTGACAATAACTCGTCAATTTTCAAACAGGACATCACAGTAAACACATATTACGTAAGAACATAAATAATCTTTAAGTCAATCGTTTATACTGCTTTAGAGTCGAGAATCCGACTTTGAGCATGCTTTGCTCATTTAAACCAAAAAATTATTTTTATTTTTATTAAATGTACATACATGTATAACATTCTTTCTTGTATTCTCGTTCAATCAAATAACCTGTTAATCAAATTATATACAAGGATTTCTTGATTAACACAATTTACATGTAGCAAAGGGGAGTAACTCTCATTTGCTTCACTTATTACAATTTTATACTCTGTTTACCTCCTACATGTATCTACCCAGGAGCAGAGAAAAGGAAAATTTACTCAGTTTATATTCATAAATTTACTTACCATGAATTTCACAATTTTAGTAGGGAGCTCAATGCTTATAATAATTACAATCACGCCAACACTTTGGCTGCTTGGTGTCCAGAGTAAAGAAAAAGATTTTTAAAGATGGCATTAATTTTGATTGTTTTAGCCCCACCCCTCAGGCCCCAGGGTGCAGGGACCATGAATTTCACAATTTTTACTCCCCATTACCGATAGA